TTACCCAGCATGACATCCTTCTCCAGCAACTGGTCCCTCCTGACCATATGTCCAAAGTATGAGAGACAAAGTTTGGCCATCTTGGCCTCTAAGGAGCACTCTAGCTGCAGTAGTTCTCTGCTTATCCTACAGTACTATGCTAATAAGGGGACCTTGCAAATAGGGTGTACAGAACTCTAACCTGGGCACTGGTAAGTTTTGCCATCCTGCTAGGCTTAAAATGAGCCAGTCCAGAGGCAGAAAATAGGCACTCTACCATCAAGGGAGCCCTGCTGTGGTGCTGTAGGATCAGCACAGGACTGCAAACAAGATTGGTGTTCAAACCTTTCAGTTGTTCCTCAGAAACCCTATACAGAGTCTCTATAAGTTGGAACCAACTTGACGGCACTTAACAATAACAACCACCACGAAGAAAGAAGAGTGAGGAGTGGGTTCGTCCTTTGGATCCAAGATCCCTGTGTGGAATCTCCTGGTTGCAGGAGACAGATTGCTGTGACACTCAAGACAGTGAGAAGTTATGGCAGCAGAATCAGAAGAGTAGCAGGAGAAAGCACTATATGGCTTTCTAGCCCGTAGAGTGAGAAAGCTGAGTCTCTTCTGCCAGGAGGCTTGCAGGCAGAGTGGGGTGCCTCTATGCAATTATTGGCAGAGTTAAAAGTGCTTTGCAACACTTGGGCAGGGTGTGGGTGTGGGAGGGGCCAAGGGGCCAGAGGCCTGGCCATGCCTGCAGGAACAGCAGGGAAGACGTTGACCGTATCCTGAGTTGTTCCTGATTCTGAATTGGTATTTTTCTAATAAGCTCTGTAACCTTGAGTATTGTAGGTGGGCTGTGTGGTCATGTGCAATGGATCACTGAGCTTAGAAGAGAAGTGTAGTGCTACGGAGGGATGGTTGGTGCAGGGCCACTAATTACTTATTACGATCGCCCTTCTGGCCAAATTTCTTAATTCTGTGATGTATTATTATTAATCTTAGTTTCTATGAGTGTGATTATGGATCCATTCTGGAGTTGCTAAAGAGTAAAGGTTAAGGTGGGGCTAAAGAGCAAGGATTACAGTAAAACTAATGATTAAGGATTCTCCCACAGGTTAGTGTGCTGGACTGCTGTCTGATTGAAGCCCAAGGTCAGCAGTTCAAGCTCACCAGCTGCTCCTTGGAAACCCTATACAGGGTTGCTATGGGTTGGAATTGACTCCACAGCACTTAAAAACAACATACCTTATTAGAAGTTGTGACTTAGTTCCCCTTGGGAGCATGGTCTGACTCCAATTTATAGGACAGGAAAGCTTGCTCTCTTGAATTAGATCTTGCATCTGATGGCTCATTATGCCATGGAACTTTTGGCCCATCACCTGACCTTATTCACCAGCTCCCAAAGCCTCATGCATCAAAAGCCTGTCATCTGACCTGCCTATTATGTGGTGAGAAGATCCCTTCAATCTGATCTCTAAACTCCGGATTTGGGACTTACCAGCCTCTACAATTGCATGAGCATTTCTTTTGACAGTTGTGAGTTTTGTGAGGTGTTGAAGTGTTGCAGAACCCTGGGACTTGAGGGAGGGGAGGAGTGGTGACAGACATCAAGGACTATACTGGTACTATACTAATGTTGGAAAAGTCAAGCAATTGGAATACCTTTAACATCCAATTCAGATGGACCAGTCTTATGCTGATCTTTCTAAAAGAAATTATACAAGCAGTTGGTATCACAATTAGTAAGAGTGGAAGGGTGGAGGCATGGCTAATCTCTGCCTCGTAGCAATCAGCTTTGGGCAACTGATGCAGTTGGTTTTTATTTCTCATCCTCCTTGCGGAAGTTAGAGGAGGTCAGATGCTGCCCTCCCACCCCAATACCATTTTGCTCTCATTAACAACTTGAAGATATGCAGATGACATAACCTTGCCTTCTTAAAGAGAAGAAAACTTGAAGTACTTACTGATGAAAATCAAAAACTATAGCCTTCAGGCCTTCAGTATGGATTTCACCTCAACATAAGGAAAATAAAAATCTTCACAGACCAATAAACAACACTGCTATATATGGAGATAAGATCAACTTCCACAGAAGCAGCTGTCAATAAATCAAACAACCTATTGCATTCAGCAAATCTGCTACAAAAACTTTGAAGTGTTAAAGAGCAAAGATGTCACTTTGAAGACTAAGGTGTGCCTGACTGAAGCCCCAGGTATTTTCAATTACCTTACATTCATGCAAAAGCTGAACAATGAATAATAAAAATGGGAGAATTGACTCCTTTGATTTATGCTGTTGTCGAAAATATTGAAAGCACCATGGATTGTCAGAAGAATGAGCTAATCTGTTTTGGAAGAACAGCCAGATATTCCTAAGAAGGGAGGATGGTGAGAGACTATCTCACATACATGGTGCTGTAGGAATTATACACTGGGTCACTAGGTTAGTTTGAACTGCAAAGTGGCAGTTCAAGCCCACCAGTTACTACTTGGAAACCCTATATAGTGTGGCTATGAATCAGACCTTTTTAAAGTGTTGGAGAGCAAAGATGTCAGCATGAAGACTAAGGTGCGCCTGACCCAAGCCATGGTATTTTCAATAAC